TACAAACACTATCCTTAGTATTATTTCTCCTTATTAATTGCCAGTTACTTTTATCGTTCAAAAAGTATCAACAATTTCGCCCTATTAAACCTATATGTATTGTATTCACAGTCACGTGTGATGACACCTTACTTTTTGAATTGCTAACGAAGTGATGTTCGTATCAATGTGTGATCCGTCACCGCGGTGTTGGTCACGACTAGTGACGTCACGAGAACACGACTTACCACTTACCGCTGTGGAATTTTCTTAATCTGTTTTTGTACTTAACGTATTTTTCAAACTTAGTTTTACTTAAGTGTGCATAATCTATTTTTTTAAAAACGAATTCTAAGTTTTACGATAAACGGTAATAAACGTTAAAGAATATTAATATATTTTACTTAATGTTTAATCTGTGATTTTATCTTTGTGCATTTATGTATCTAAACACTGCAATTTTGCTAACCACTGAAGAGAGAAAGGAGTTCCTCCTATAGTTTCAATATCTTAATTTTAAACATAAATCTTCTTACAAAAGTTTTCCTAAATATTTTCATACTTCATAAACATTTTCTAAATTATTTTAAATATAATCGGTGCGTTTCGACGACAGTGACAACATAAAAATGTTGTCACATAGATAATATCTCTTACATTTTCTTTGAACAACTAAACGTAGACAACAATTCTTGACGGCAGTCAAATCCCTTAGCAATAACCGTAACCGCAAATAAATCCGCAACAGTGTCAAATCGTGTTAAGATTAGGTAAGATAAGAAGACAAAGCGGCGACATGCCGATGTTTAGTCATGCGTCTAACCAAAGAGAGTGTAAGTAACAATCGCATGTGCGCAGTTACGTAATAAGTTTCTCCCTGTTTGCGTTCCGCCGAAATTTGGAAACCGATGTCTCGACGATTCACCGAATCCGGCAGCGTTTAAGAACAATGTGACTGATTATTATGTCATTATGGAAACGTTTATTGTCTACTTTAACATAACTTCAAGGAATCCTACTTATATTACGGGTTAGACCACTATCTATAAAGGCAATTATGGTTTTATTAATTTAAACTTATAATTTTAAATTATTAGTATAAATTTAATTAACAGTGGTAGTGCCCGCTTTAACATCTTAGCACGAATGGGCCGACACGCCCGGTGTAATACCACGACCACACACAAGACAGGCGTGAAATGGAAGC